CCAGGGCACCCCCAGGGGTCAAGGAGTGTGTGCCCAGGGCGTGGGGCCGGCCGGCAGACAGGAGGGGGCGTGCTGGGAGCAGCTGTGTGCATTTTCTGGATGCGGGGTGGGAGGTCTGATGGGCTAACAAGGGACTGACCGACACTTTGATGCACCGCAGAGGGACACCCCCAGCTCATCCTTGGGGGCATCGCAGAGGAACCCATTCCCAAGCCTCAGACATTGGGGAGCCTCCTCTTACCCCCATGAGTGTGCTTTGGGTTACTCTTGTTTTACCCTCTTCACCAGGGCACGCTCCTTAAAGAGCTGGAATAATGACTTAGATCAGTGGCTGCTTTCCCCCCAGATCTTTCCCACTGCACTGCCTGGAGCTGACCCCAGGGTGAGGAGTGCAGCCCTGGGCTCACAGTTCTTCCTGTGGTGCCAGGAGTTCACCCTAGGGCACCAGCCAGTCTGGGGTGGGGTGACTTGTCAGGTGACCTGGGATCTGAGTTGTCCATGGGGCAGCTGCTGTCCCCCCTTGCCTTGATCAGCATGGTGGGCTGGTGATGACTACAGCTGGTGTTCGGGCAGTGTATTGAGGGCTGGGGATCTGTCCCTATCCACCCCAGGCTGTCTTCCACTTTTCTGGCTTTCTGAGCTCAGATGCATTTGGGGGTGGGGGAAGGGCAGGGGCACCCCAGGGAAAGCCTCAGTGCCAGCCAGTGAAAAGGGGAGAGCCATCTTGGGAAAGGAGAGGGGGTTGACTGGCCTCTGGCCTCCAGACCCTCCTCTGGCCATCTTCTTGGGGAATGGGAATGGGATGTTTTGGGGGGATAGGAAGTTGGGGTGGAGGGGCTGTGCCTAAGGTCTGTGAGCTGTTAGACTCCCTGTGGGAGAGGGGTGTCTCTGCCAGGGAGGCATGCCTAAATGGAGGGAGGGAGCTGTGCCTGGTGGAGGCTGCAGAGGGTCAGGAAGGGGGTGTGCCAGTGAAGGAAGGGACGTGCTTATGGGCATGGACAGCTCTAGACACCCAGTGGCTGCATTGTAGGGGTCACAGGTGCTCTGACCTGGGAGCCTATGGCTCTCAGGCCACTACGGGGTGGGGTCACAGGCTGGAGGAGCAGACATGAACCTCCTTCCCCAGCCTTTCCAGTCCTTGGGATCAGCCCCCATTGGAACCCTTATTCCTCCCATGTGTGTCCTGCCCTTGGGCTTTACTCCTACCTCCCTTCCTGTTCCATATGTACTGTCCTAGCTTTTACTTTTCCCTGTAGATATAGTCCCTGTTCTGAAGGGCAGAGTTCAGATGCCTCTTCATGGAAGCCTTCCTTAACCCTTTTAAGCTAGTTTAGGAATCCCTCTTCCTGGTCCTCTCCCTGCCTGTCATAGGTCTTAGTCTTTTGTGTCCTATCTCATTTCCCTTACCCACCCTGTCTTTGGAAGACAGTGGCAGTGTCGGAGCAATCTCTGTGCCCACAGCACCCAGTGTAGAGCCTGGGACTGAGGAGCTACCAGTGCTATCTGGTGAAAGAGTGAAGAAATGGGTGGATGGTGCAAAGGATGCTGAGGCTGGGGAGGGTACTGTGGCCCAGAGTAAGCCAGGAGGGGTTGCTGCAGGAGATAGAGCTCCTGTTGGGCTTGATGGATTAGGGATGATGGGGGAAGATTGCAAGAGGGGACATGAGGCTGGAATCTAAGAGAGAACTGCAGTTCATTGAGGGTCTCAGGGCCAAACCCTGTGCCAGATACTTTCAGGCATCTGTGCTAGGTGTCTCCTTAAGTGCTCTCTGCAGTCCCTGAGGTGGGTTTTACTGTCACCATTTACAGAGCTGGATGCTGAGGTGCAGAGTGGAGGAGTGAACTGTCCAAGGTCACACAGTCAGTAGATGGGAAAGCTGGACTCCAATCCAGGTGTTCCTCCCTTGAATGCTCCACAGAGTTTCTGAAATAGTGTCCTGCTGTCCCTGGGTGTGGGAGTGGAACACTGATGGCTTTTGAACAGGGACAGGCCTGAATCCTAAAATGTGATTGGGAATGTGCTTGGAGACAACTTAGTCCCATGAATTCATTTCTCAGACTGTGAAACTGAGGCACAGGAAGGAATGAGACTTTTCTCAGGCCATCAGTGAGCAGCAGGCCCTGGATGACAGCCCAGGTCTCCCGCCTGCCCATTGGATGTGATTTCCACTGCACCAAGCTGCTCAGGACACTGTGGTTCTCCCTGCATCTGGGCTCAGGAAGGAGGGAGTCCTGGAAGGTTTGTTCTGAGCTGGAGCATTGGAGAGAGAGCCTCAGGCTTGGGCTCCTGACCTAGGCCCTGGCAGACACCACTCAGCCACTGGAGGAGGGCTGTTCAGGAGGGGCTGGCCTTTCCCATCTCATTCCCTGGTGGGTATCCTCCTTCTACTCCCTCCATTCAGCTCCCCAGGGAACCTCTTTCCTCGCTCATCTCTGCTTCCCCACCCCTCACCTGTTCCCCCATTTCCAGTCAGTCCCTCCAGGGGCCTGATAGAGGGACCATCCCTAACTCCTAGCCAACCTCGGGTTAACAGGGTCTGTGGTACACCTTAGGTGCTTAGGTTAGGGCCAGGGCCCATTGTTCCTTCCCCTCTCTCCTCCCTCACATAAGTGTTGCACTTGGATCCCTGGGTTGTACTAAATACTGTGTTAGATGGAGTAGGGGGACCAAAAGGAAATACATTGGACCTGCCTTCAGGACACATCAGGGCTCAGCCAGTTCCACACCCACGCCCTGTGTTTTACAGGCAAGAAGGGTCAGGGGTGGGGGCAGAGGTATGGGGAAGGCAGGTTAGATCCCTTGGGGAGCCAGGGATCTAACCCTCACTGAGAAGGTGGCACTTGATCTGAGCTGCCCAGGGATCCAAGTGCAACACTTATGTGAGGGAGGAGAGAGGGGAAGGAACAATGGGCCCTGGCCCTAACCTAAGCACCCAAGGTGTACCACAGACCCTGCTAACCAGAGGTTGGCTAGGAGTTAGGGATGGTCCCTCTACCAGGCCCCTGGAGGGACTGACTGGAAATGGGGGAACAGGTGGGGGGTGGGGAAGCAGGGATGAGAGAGGAAAGAGGTTCCCTGGGGAGCTGAATGGAGGGAGTAGAAGCATTGGGGGTAGGTTTTGGGAGAAATTCTAGGGAATGATGACTGCATATACAAAGGCAAGGAGGTAGAACTGAACATGTTGGGTCTGGGAGACCATTGGGCATGCTAGGCTAGAACCCAGGGCTCCTAGGGATGGCAGGGAGGTGGCATGGGAAAAGCAGAGTGGGACAGACCAGGAAGGGCTGATGTGCTCGGCCTTTGCATGGTGGTTCCACCTATGATGTGGGGAGATAGTCGAGCAAAAATCAAAGGAGGCAAGATCAGCAACAGGAGGAGCACTACACCCGCTAGGCTGAAGCCTGAAGAGAGGCTGGGCTTGGTGCTGGGAACTCAACCAAAGAGGCTGATAGTGTTCCCCTCAGGGTGGAGAGCCTTCAGGCCTGGGAAGAGGGCTTGGATGGGAGGTCCCCATGCCTCTGCAGTATCCCAGAAGTGTGGATATCTGACAAGTAGAACCTACCACTTTCTCTCAGTTGCTCCAGCTCCACCTTCCCTAGTGATGGCTCCTCCAGGAAGCCTTCCAGGCCACTCTGGGTCCTGGTGCTTCTTCCACTTAGCACTCCTTTCTCTTGTCGTCCCTGGAGTTGTTCTGCCTGTTTCCTGGCTGCCAGCTCCCCTGGGAGCTCCCGGGCCAAGCCTGGGCACCTCCCATTTTTGTCCCCAGGCCTGGTGGGGGAGGAGGGCAGTGGATGAGGACTTCCCTTCTCCCTCAGGGCCTGGAGCAGCCTGGCTGTTGGGGGGTGGGATCAGGAGGGGTGGTGTGCTACCCCCATCTGGCCCAGGCTGGCCAGTAGGTCCTAAGTGGGGTGGGGGCTAGAAGGAGGGACTGATCTGAGCTGCCAGGAGGAGGTTTCTGCTACAGCTGGGTTGAGCATTGGTTGTGAGTACAGGGGGCGCCCTCTTCTTTCCTCCCCCTAGCCTGCTGGAGCAGGGCTCCCTCCTCCTTTGTCCTCCGGGGATCCCCAGCCCCAAGGGCTGGTGGGGTGTGGGAGGAGGCTGTGCGAGCCAGGGTTGGGGGGTGTCCTCACAACCCCCCCCCTGCACTGCACGAGCGGGGGGCTGGCAGCTGCCCGCCTCCTGGGCAAGAGCCCGTGCCAGCCGCTCCTGGCACAGTTGCTGGCACGCCCGGCAGACTCCCACGGCCACCTGCTCACACCCACCCACGAGCGCTGGCGCTGCGGGCCCTTCCGGCTTCCCGGGCCTCCCGAGGCCCCTCCC